CTGCCCTCTTTTTGAATGGACTCCAAAATCTTTGCATTGATATCATTGTCTTTACACAACTCCACAAAACTCAACTCAGGTTTGGATAAACTATTAGCCAATGCTTTCAATTCCGGTTTATTTGGCATAATTAGTGCCACCAAATAATCATACATTGGATTCCCATAAACACACAAATTGTCCACAAAGTCATCCTTCTTAAGGCTCTCTTCGACCTAAAAAATGAAAAAACTATTTATTAAACAGTGTTTTCATTAATGGTTTACAAGTACTTTAGCTAATGATATGTATTCTCCTTTCGACAGTTTTATGATATCCTTTTTGCGGTCAATTATTTTGACGTTTCCGTCGCGATATATCTCAGCGATGTCTCCCGTGTAGAACCAACGGACGCCGTCCTCCACTTTAAACGACTCTTCAGTCAATTTGTCGTTTTTGAAGTAACCTTTGGCCACATTATTGCCGCCGATCACCACCTCTCCTCTGGGGTTTGGCTGGTCATCCAACTTATAGTTGCCTTCAACCCAATCCACTAATTTAATTTGAATCCCTTCGAGGGGTGGGCCCACAAACCCGACGCTCGTGTCATCCAAGTCGTTGGCAGTGCCGGCCGCACACGTCTCCGTCAGACCATAGCCTAGATATACAACCATTTAATTAATTATAAACTTATTTGACGATATATTTTATTTCAAACATACCCTGAATTAGTATCACATTAAAGCAATTGCGAATGAATTGGTGGGTATAGGGGGAAAGGGGTGCCCCACCACTGGCTACAAATCGCACTTTTCCTCCCAAAACAGATTTGAATCGATTACAGAATATATAGTTAATGATTGGAGTCTTGAATCCATATTTAGTCCAAAACTCTTTCTGGTGGTAGAAAAAGTTGAAAATTAATTTTGTGATCGCATTTCGGTGGGCAATGGCTTCGATGCCGATCCGGAGTCTGTCTAACACGAGGGGAACGGCCGGCATAACTGTCGGCTTAAGTAGAGTGAGGTCTCCTTTGGTTCCCTTCATGAGGCCATTTGACTGATCAGTCAGTGTATTAGTGGTGGCGAAACCAATCGGCAAACCATTGGCCATAAACAACATCTGGACCACCATTTCCATGATGTGAGCCATCGGTAGGTAAGCGCAGTATAGGTCGTCCTCTTCGAGAACAGTTAGCATCGAATTGAAGCCTTTAATCGCAGATAAGATGTTTGAGTGCGAAATGTTCACTCCTTTGGGGACACCCGTGGAGGGGCTCCATATGTACTGTTGTCGGCATAGTAGCCGAGGCCCTAGTGACGGAAAGTTCACAAACAAAAGAAACGGGTTGAGAACCTAGACTCTGTTGCTTATCTTCGCTTGAGATACAGAGACCAGAACAGTGAAGAGTTTGTTGATATCGAGCTCTTTGGGTCCCTCCATATATACAATGCATTTAATTTTCGGCATCTTTTCCAGAATTGGACTCAATTTACTCAACACATCATAATTTGTGATCAAATGAGACACTTCTGTCTCATTGATGCCATGAAGTATGCCTTCCGGAGCTAATGTGGAGTAAAGTGTGGCGACAGTGGATCCAAGCCTTAAGAGTGACTGAAACGACAGCATCCACTCGAGTCTGGTTTCGGCCAAAATCAAGACAATGTCTTTGGGTTTGATTCCGATGAACAGAAAGCCTTTGGAAATGAGATCGATTTTGGCGTCAATTTCTTCGCATCGGAACCACTTATAGTCACTTAACTTGACTTTCTTAAGCACTCGGCCGTCGGGCAGGCACTGCTTCTCCTCATCTATGATCTCACGGAAACCAAAACCGTATTTCTGTGGGAATTGTTTGAGTATTTTGGAGAAGAGTTCGGGAAGAGTAGTGCACTCGTCGACGAGAAAGGCTCTGAAATAGGCGTTTGAATTGACGCGAACCCACGGACTCGATCGCACTGTCGGTATTAATTGTATGGCTTTTGTGGTCACGAACTTCTTTGGCATATAGTGTGGACTCCTTTTGGCACAGATTAGGAGCGCTTTAAAGGGAAGCATTTTATTACACAAACGTATCACTAATTTAAATGTTGTCTATTTATAAGCACTGATAGTATTGATGGAAAACTTTTACAGTAAAGATATCAGAGATGTTTTAAATGAAACGTTATACAGGTATAAGAATTGTGAAAAATGATATTTAAATAAATAAATAA